CAACATTTATGTTTATGTCCACAGATAGTGTTAACTCTAAGCCTGGGTCTGGAAAGCTCCTGTTTTAGAGAGAGCAATGATTAAGAAATTATAACTGGTCAAAATATTGAGAATAAGTGACTTTTCAGTGATGAGTACTTGTCCCTACAGTAGACAGCCAAATAACCTTCTTTAAACTCCATGGGACATCACAGGAACTTGGGCAGGAGGACTCAAAAAGCTAGAAGATGAAGAAGATTGATTGAGAGGATTTCTGATTATTATGAAACATTGTTTTCTAACTATGGTATGACTGGCACAACCATGAACACACAGTTGATGTGGCTATTTGTATAAAATCTACACATACATACACACACACATTCACAAGCTATAGGGGTCAGAGGGGAACCTGTTGGGAAGATAGGTGTCACCAAGAGTGGAATAAGGACAAGAGACTGTAATGGGGGATTAATATAATCATGACATATTCTATATCAAATCAGCAGAAATTTAAGGTTCTTTTCACATAGCAAGCAAAGAGCTATTCAATATTAATTATATCATAGTTTCACTACAATTTAAAAGGCTTTTCCACCTGGTTTCTTCAATTAACACATAAGAAAACAGTGCAAACAAATGAACTAGAAGCCAATATTATTAAAAAGAACAAATTTCTACAAAAGATGTTGAGATTTCTGTAAAGGTAAAAGGCACAATTGAAACCGCTGCTTGATACATGGCAACAGCCATGTATAGGAGAAAAATCTCCTGTGTGGGTTGTTATTGTTAACACTTTAACACTGAGTCTTGTTTTATTGCCCAGGCTGCCTGCAAACTGGCCATTCTTGTGTCTCAGCCTCTTGATTACTTGGATTTCAGACGTGCACTGCCAACCCTACACCTGGTTTACACAGGAGAGTAGAATCAACCTTAAACCTAGCCACATGTGACACATGGAAAGTCAAGGAGCTATTTCAGTTACTTGGGGTGTTTTAGCAGTATATTTTGCTTTCCTGGTGTAGAAATTTGGTGCACTGAATTGTCAAAAGCTTCTGCAATCTTTCACCACATGGATTCTACTCCAAGGAAAATGTGGCAGAAGGGGCTCACAGCTAGAGTTACTATCAAAAGCTAGGCAAGCAGGGAAGTATTTATGCTACTATAGCATTTTGCAATTTTAGAACACAATGGCACCTTTAGGCCAAATGTTATATCCTGCAGTTTGAATTGAGTGCCCTAACTTTCCCCCATACTGCAGATATCTTTGCAGCTTTCTAAACTCTCCAAGAGAGTCCAATATTTTCTTTGTCTGTGGCACCTTTACATTTCTTCGTTAATTTTTATGAGTTTTTAATTAATTAATTAATTTTTTCCTAGCAAAATCAGTTTCTGCTCAATCCCTCCTCTCCTTCTAGTCCCTGTCCCATCCTCCCCCCAAGAATTACCTCTACCTTCCATCCAGAAAAGTGCAGGCCGTCCCTGTATGTTAGTCAGCCAAGGGAAATCAAGTTGCTGCAAGACTAGGTACCTCCTGTCTTATTAAGGCTGGAATGGGCAACCCAGCAGGAGAAAAGGGTTCACATGAGAAGGCAACAGAGTCAGAGACAGACTCTGCTCCCTTTGCCAGCAAACCAAAGAAGGCCAAACTACACAACTTTAAAATATTGCTGAGGACCTAGGTCCATCTCATGTACGTTATCTGGCTGGCGGTTCAGTCTTTGTGAGCTTATGAGACCAGGTTAATTGATTCTGTGGTTTTCTTCCAGTGTCCCTGACCCCTCTGGATCCCATAATCCTTTCTTCCCCTCTTCCACAGAATTCCCCAAGGTCTGCCTAATGTTTGACTGTGGGTCTATCTATCTATTTCCATCAGTTTCTTAGTGAAGTCTCTCTGATTAAAATTGAGCTAGGCAACAGTCTATGAGTATAGAAATATCAACAGGATTCATTTCACTGAATTTTTAAACTGCCATAATGGGGTGGTCCTTCTATGTATATGTTTGTCTTATTGGGTGATAAATGAGTACTGTTGGCCAATAGGAAAGCAAGATAGGTGGGACTAGGAATCGAGGAGGATTCTGGGAAATGTAGTAAGATATCTAGGCAGGAAGTGACATAACAGGCAGACTCAGAATTTAGGCAAGGACAAGCAGTAAGTGGTTCTTTTGTGCTTCTTCTTTCCCTTGCTCTTCCTCCTGCTCTCCTCTCTCTGGAGTTGCCATGTAAGCCTGGGAAGACAGGACACTTGACGCCAGCATCCTCTAAGATAAGTCTCATAAAATATATAGATTTATGATAATTAAGACTGAGCTAGCAGATGAGAATTCCTAGTCATTGGCCAAGCAGCATTTGTACCTAAAATAAGTCTCTATGTGTTACTTGGGACTTTAACATGGTGGCAGGGCTCGGGTGAATGGCAAGCCCAGGTGGCTGGTCAAAATCGCCCATGTAGTGGTGGTGCTCGGGCGTATGGAGTAAAGACTTTTTATAGCATTGCCAGTCATGTTCTATCCTAGATCTCTGGACTGTCCAGAATCTGGGTCTTTGCCCTCCAGGCATTTTTGGATTGGGCTTCCTCTCCCAGAATGTGTCACAAGCTGAACCAGTCATTGGTGGGCCACTCCCATATTTTCTGTGCTTCCCTTGTCCCAGCATAATTTGTGGGCAGCATAGACTGTATGTTGAAAGTCATGTGGCTGGGTTGGGGCCCCAATCCCTCCACTAGAAGTCTTGCCTGGTTAAAGAAGATGGTTGGTTCAGGCTTCATATCTCACAGGAGCTTTATTTAGGGTCACCCTCATAGATTCCTGGGGGTTTCCATTGCACTAGGTTTCTAGCTCATCTCAGGGATGGTCCTGATTCCAGTTGTCTTTTCCAGTACTCTCTTCCTCCGTCCTCCCCCTATGTGATCCCTGTTGTTTCCGTGACAATCCTGCCATCTAGACACCTCCCCAAGTACTTATAATGTCTGTGTTCTTTCTTCTTCCCAGTGAAATTCATGTGTCTCCCCTTTGAGCCTTCCTTGTTACTTAGCTTCTTTGAGTCCGAGGATTGTAACATGGTTATTTACTTTTACAAATGATATCCATCTATAAGTGAGCAAGCACACACCATATTTGTCTTTCTGGGTCTGTGTTATCTCACTCAGGATGATCTTTTCTAGTACCATCCATTTGTCTTAAGATTTCATGATGTCATTGTTTTTAGCAGTGAATAGTACTCCATTGTGTAAATATACCACATTTTCTTTATCCATTCTTCGTTGCAGCAACATCTATGTTGCTTCCAGTTTCTGGCTATTAGGAATAAAGATGCTATAAATATAATGGAGAAAGTGTCTTTGTGATATTATAAAGTGTCCTTTGGGTACATGCCCAGGAGTAGTATAGCTGGATTTTGGGGTAAATAGATTCCTAATATTGTTGGAAACTGCTATATTAATTTCCAAACTAGCTGTACAAGTTTGAACTCCCACCAGCATTGGAGGAGAGTTCTTCTTACTTTACATTCTCCCCAGCATGAGCTGTCACTTGTGTTTTTTATCTTAGCTATTGTGACAGGTTCAAGATTGAATCTTGGAGTCGTTTTGATTTGCATTTCCCTGATGGCTAAGGATGCTGAACATTTAAGTGTTTCTCAGTCACCAATTGTATTCTGTTGGTGATACTTGCACCTGTAGTTCCTGCTTGCTTACCCAGATTTTAAATTTCTACAATTCCCTCTATTTGCTTTTTGTTTGTTTGCTTGTTTTTATTGTTTCTATTTCCATTTTCAGGTCTTGGGCAGTTTTCTTCACCTATTTGTTTTTTTCTGGGTAATCAGTAAAGGATTTATTGATTTTCTCTAATTCTTTGTATTTTCCTCATTTTTTCTTTAAGGGATTTTTTCATTTCCTCTTTAAGGATCTCCATCATCTTTGTAAAGTGGGTTTTAAGGTCATTTTTCTTGTGCTTTGACTGCATTGGAATGTTCAGGTCTTGCTGTCGTAGGATATCTGGGCTTTGGGGGTGCCATATTGTCCTTCCTGCTATTGATTTTGTCCTTACACTGGCATTTAGGCATCTGGGTTTGGGCTGATTATAGGTCTGGATATGGGTTCCTGAGTTTGTCTTTGTTGGATGGGTGGTTTTTCTCTTGGTTTCTGTTTCTTCTCCCTTGTTTCTAAGTGGGCAGAGGTTCTGGTAACTAGCAAGTCTTCAGGTCCAGTAGTATGTCTCCAGTGGGTTTTTTGGGGCCTGAAAGACCTCTGGGGTTTTGGGTTCCAAATAACTGTGTTGTCTCTAGGATTCTGGATACCAGCTTGGTCACTGGGATTCCTAGTGCCGTGTGACCTCCAAAACAGCAGAAATGTTCTACTGAGGTTTCAGGCTGGGATATGGAGCTCAGAGGAGGGGTTATAGTTGGAGGTTGTTTAACCAGCTGCTGGGAGTGTTTTACCTTGGGTCAATAGTAGTGGCCTGGTCTCAGGTAAAACAGAAGACTTCTGCCAAAGCTTTTTGCCAGAATATGGAACCCAGGGGAAGGGGTACATTTTGGTGTTGTTTTGTAAGCTTTCAGGGATAATAGTAGATGGTGAAATGATGCCCTACCCAGGATCCCCAGGACCAGTGTTGGCCTCCAGTAAAGTAGCTGGAGGTGTGGGCTTGAATATGGAGGTTCAGGGGTAGGACATGTTGTTGAGGATATTGGACATGCTTTAAGGAGGTTTAGCCAGCAGTGGACAGTGTCTTACATTCTCTCCAGTACTTTGTTTGATGTGGTGCACTTGGTCAGAATAATCATGCTAATAGTTCTATTTGTTAAATAGTTTTGATGAAACTACTTAGCTAATACTAATATCCTGATCACTTAGCTGCATGAAAAACTAGTACACATAACTTGAAAAAAAAGTAACATTTAATTTTATTATGTTGCAACGTTAAGGAACAAGTCTAGGGTCTTGGACATGTTAAGCAAGTACTCCACTACTGAACCACAACCCCATCATTTCATTTTAAATATTCACAATTGTTTACTAGGAATCTCTGAAGACACCCACTCTACTGGAGGCCATGCTGGTATTAAGAACCCCAGGTAACTGGAACCCCAGAGACCACACCAGTATGCAGAACCCCAGAGGCCCTACCAGTTCTCAGAACCCCAGAAGCAAATAGAGCACCCAAATCCCCAGAGGCCTTATAGACCACCAAAAATCCAGCAGAGACACACTATTTGACCTGAAGATTTTCTGGTCACCAGAACCACAGGCCACTCAGGCCAGAAAACCAGAGAGGAAATAGAAAGCAAGGGGGAGGGGGGAAACATTCACAAAGCATCCATCCAACAAAGATAAACTCAGAAACATGCATCTAAACTACTAATAACCCCAAACCCAGATGACTAGAGGCCGGCATAAGAACACAGTGAGCAATACCCAGAGGAATATGGCACCACTGGGTATACTACTAGAGCAAGCCGTGGATATTCCAGCACAGTGGAAGCACAAAAAATGACCTTAAATACAATCTTATGAAGATGACAGAGACCCTTAAAGAGGAAATTAGTAAATCCCTTAAAGAAATCCAAGTAAACACAAACAAACAGATGAAGGAAGCAAGTAAAACTCTTGAAAACCTGAAATGGAAACAGAAACAATAAAGAAAACACAAACTGAGGGAATCCTGGAGATGGAAAAGAATAGGTAGGTGAGCAGTAACTATAGATGCAAGTATCACCAACAGAATATAAGAGATGGGAGAGAGAATCTCAGGCATAGAAGATACAATAAAAGAAATTGATATATAAGTCAAAGAAAATGTAAAAATCTAAAAAAAAAAAATCCTGAAACAAAACATCCAGGAGCTCTGGGACACTATGAAGAGACCAAACTTAAGCTAATGGAAGAAATAGAAGAATCCCAGCTCAAAGGACCAGAAAATATTTTCAACAAAATCATAGAAGAAAACTGTCTTAACCTAAAAAGGGACATGCCTATAAAGGTACAAGAAATTTATAGAACACCAAATAGATTGGACCTGAAAAAGTCCCCCTACAACATAATAATCAAAACACTAAAAATACAGAATAAGGAAAATTAAAAGCTGCAAGAGAAAATGGCCAAATAATATATAAAGTAGACCTGTTAGGGTAACACATGACTTCTCAATAGAGACACTAAAAGCCAGAAGGGCCTGGACAGATGTCTTGCAGAATCTAAGAAACCACAGATCCCAGCCCAGATTACTATATCCAGCAAAACTTTCAATCACTATAGATGGAGAAAACAATATATTGATGTGGGATGTCCTTCTGTATGCTGCAAATATATATTGCCTTTATTGGTTGATGAATAAATTTGATTTGGCCTAAGACAGGCCAGAATATAGCTAGGTGGGAAATCCAAGCAGATATATAGGGAGAAAGAAGGGAAAGTTGAGAAAAGAAGTCAGCAGCTACAGAAGAAGCAAGACATGTAGAAAATGAGATAACACCACAGTCATGTGGCAATACATAGATTAATATAAATGGATTGATTTGTATATAAGAGCTAGCTAGTAATAACCCTGAGCCATCTGCCAAATAATTATAATATTAAGACTCCTAGTAATTATTTTATAAATGGCTGCAGGAATGGCACCTGCGACAGAAAAGCTCTGCCTATAAAATATTCCATGACAAAGTCAGATTTAAACAATATCTATCCACAAATCCAGTCCTACAGAAGGTGATAGAAGTATACCTATGAAAACACAGGAAATAATCTCATACCAGCAAATGGAATGGATGCAAAAACTTAATCCTGTATATGATATGTGCTGGGATAAGGGTGCTACAGAGATTGTTGGAGTGGCCAACAAATGACTTGTCTAGCCTGAGACCCATGCCAAGAAAATGAGCTTACCCCTGATACTTCCTGGTGTACCAGGACTCAGAGGCTGGATGCTCCAGAGATCTAAGAAATAAAAACTACTGGTGAAAAAAATTACAGTGCAATGATGCCTAATGATATTCTGCTATACTTATAGATTTGTGCCTAGCCCATGTGTCTTCAGAGAGACTTCATCCAGAAACTGATGGAAATAGAGGTGGAGACCCACAGTCAAACATTAGGTCGAGCACAGGAAATCCTATGGAAGAGGTGGAAGATGGATTGTAGGAGCTAATGCTGTCAAGAACATCACAAGAAAACCCACAGAATCAACTAACCTGGGATCATAGGAGCTCATAGAGACTGAATCCATAACCAGGGATCTGCATGGGCCAGAGCTAGGCCCTCTGCATATATGTGACAGTTGTATAGCTTGGTCTCTTGTAGGATTGCTAACAGTGAAAACAGGAGCTATACTTAATGCTTTGGTTGGCTTTTGGGATCCTATTCCTCATACTGGGTTGCCTTATACAGCCTTAATACAAGGGGAGGTGCTTAGTCTTACTGCAACTTGGCACACCAAACTTTTCTGACATCCATTGGAGGCCTGCCCTTTTTGAGTAGAAACAGAGGAGGACTGAATGGGAGAGGGGCAGAGGGGAGTTTTATGGTAGGGACTGGTAGGAGAGGAGGGAGGGGAAACTGAGGTTGGGATGTAAAATAAAGGAATGAATTAGCTAAAAACTTGTTTGAAGTGACACTAGCCCACTGAAGCATGTGGCTGTGGCAGGCCTTGCTCTTCTCTCCCCATTCCTTCTGCCTTGCTAAAAAACAAACAAACAAAACAAAACAAAAAGTTAGATTATATCCCTAAAGTTAGCCACCAAGGTCTATTCCCTTATTTGGCCACTACCTCCTCCTGAGGTTGACTACCAAAGTCCAGCAATCGGAATCCCCCTTCTTACCTAAGTAACATGCCCAATTAAAACTAAACACCTCATCCTAACTGAGGGTTTCCTATGTGCCTATGTGCCATATCTGTCTCCTCTGTTATCCACAGGCAGTCCTTTGTCCCTCATGGAACAAATAGCTCTGTCCTCTTTCTGTTGTCCCCTTCCCCTCTCCCTCTCCCCTGTGTTCTTTACCACCACTTCCGAGCCCATTTTCACACAGACCTCCCCTTTTCCCCCTCTTGAGAATTACACTGCAAGGCCATTTGCTGCTATTTTCTGCCTGAGTCAGAAAGCAGCCACTTTTGCTTTGCTTCACCACTTAAAGGATCTCTCTGTGAAAACGGGTGTTTTGGCTGTGGTTTGTGCCTAACCCAGGGTCCAAGAAGGAGGCTCTGCTGTGTGGGAGTCCCTTTCAGAGTTGCCATGGTAATATTGTCTCTTCACAGCAATAAAACAGTGACCAAGACACTCATGATCCTCCTGCTCTACCTTCATGAGTCCTGGGATTACAAGTATGTACAGACTCAGTTGTAACTTTACATTCTAAGCCTCACAATGTATCCACATAGCCTCTAGTCAACTAGACCTATTCAGATATGGAAAGTCCTTGGCTTCAGAATCATTTGCCTTGTTTTATGCCCTAAAGCATCACTATCCTGACTACTGCATAATTTATTTTTAAATCAATAACAGCTGTGTTGTCAACAATATACACCTATCTGTAATCACATCTTTAATAGTTTACAGCAGGAAAGAGTTTCCAATCTTATGAACAACTAAATATCTTTTTAGAAACTCTTCAGGAATAATTATCCAAATTAAACTTACTTTGACCATTTTCATGCAGAATCAACAATTACATGTAAGATGAACACACACATACACACACTCACTCACACACACTCACACACTCATTTCCACTAATAGTCACTGACTATATATAGCTTTCATCTTCTGCTGTATACTTGTGTACTTACTGGGTTCCTTTGAAACTAAGGAGCCAGAGAGGTTGGTACGCTCCTGTATTCCCATAACTGTAGAGGTTGAGACAGAAGGATCCCAAGTTTCAGGCCAGCACATACTACATGGTGAGTTCTAAGCCACCCCTAGGTTACTAGAGGTTACTAGTTAGACCTGACCTTGTTTATGAAAACAAAGCAAAAAAAAAACATAATTGATGCTTCCTTCATTGCTTTACTTTTCTTGGTATCTGGAAACGACTGTTACAAATATTAAATTCACATATATAAATTGTCAGTTTACCCTGTACAGACTTTTACTTTGGAAAATATAGTATAATTTTTGTGTTGAATTATTGTTTTCTTGTTGTATAATTTTTTATTTTTATTTTTTTCTACTTTTGATTTTGAGACTGACTTTCATTATGTGCTCTGGCTGACCTGGAACTCACTATGTAGACCAGACTAGCCTTGAACGTACAATTTTGTTTTCTGAGTACTGGAATTAAAAGGCTCATGCTACTATGACTCACGTATTTTTCTATTTTTATTAAACAATTACATATTTGTAGTTAAACAAGTCAGTTCTTCAAAATCCTGGGCAAGCTTTTTGAAATTCTTAACAAGTAATCTTACTTTCTAAAAGTCTTGTCCATATATGTTCAAGTAATAAGAGGAGGCTAAAATCTCATAGCTGATAGCTGTGTCATATATGTGTGTATTTTAAGGCAGTCATTTTTATTCTCATATCTCTACAAAAACACTTAGGTTGAGACATGCTAAATGTCTCTGTAAGACTAAGCAGCTAACAAATTGCAAAACCAGGAATTTAACTCAGGATTATAACCAGTTTAAAATGAGAAAGCTTTTATTGCCTTCATTATGCTGTAATGCTTCACAATCTATGATTACTATACAAGAGTTTAAATATTTAGAATGAATTTCACAGAAGCATATCAATTCCTTTCCAGGTGTTTTGCATTAACCTTATGCACAGTCATCTTTTATTCATTATTTGATTCAACAAATATTTATCAAGTGCCTAATATATACCAGTCATTTCTCAAGGAGCTATATGGTGGCAATCCAAAGTCTCTATTCTTACTGACTTCTAATAGAAAAGGTAGAAATAACACAAAAACATAAAAGATAATATGGCATAAGGTAACTAAAAAAAAAAAAGAAGTCACAGTTTCAGTGTGTTAAGTGCTATGTGGGGTCAAATTAGGATCTATAAATAACTATGGATGATGGAGATGCCTATAAACATCACCTTTTTAGATAAAGACATAAAATAATATACTTTTAACTGTACTCAGCTGAGCCAAACTCCTGGAATCCAGTTGTAGAGAGGGAGGAGTAATGAGCAATGGAATCAAGACCAGGCTGGTGAAACCCACAGAAACAGCTAACCTGAACAAGGGAGCTCATGGTCCCCAGACTGACAGCTGGGAAACCAGCACAGGACTGAATGTGGGTGTTAGTTAGGAGGTCTGGGCAGTCTATGGGGCCTCTGGTCATGGAACACTATTTATCCCTAGAGCATGAATGGAATTTGGGAGCCCATTCCCCATATAGGGATACTCTCTCAGCCTAGACACATGGGGGAGGGTCTAGGCCCTGATCCAAATGATATGACAGATTTTGTAGATTCCCCCATGGAAGGCCTCACCCTCTCTGGGGAGCCGAAAGGGGGATGGGATGGGAGGTTGGTCCGGGGATTGGGAGGATGGGAGGGCGAGGGAACTGGGATTGGTATGTAAAATAAGATTGTTTCTAATTTAAATAAAAAAATCTAAGCCGGGCGTTGGTGGCATGTGCCTTTAATCCCAGTAACCTGGAGGTAGAGGCAGGCAGATCTCTGTGAGTTCGAGACCAGTCTGGTCTACAGAGTAAGTTCCAGAACAGGCTCCAAAACAATACAGAGAAAACCTATCTCAAAAAAATATAGGAAAAACAACAGATACTAATTGGTGTGATACTAAGAAATAATCAATGAAAGACACTGGGAAAGGACAATGATTTTGAATAATGAGTTTAGAGATCTTTGAACCAAGAGCCTTTCATATGCTAGACAGGTACTCTATAAGTGAGATACATTTCCTAGCCCTAAAGATATTTACTCTCCAAATTTAAAACTGTCTTGCCCACGTGTCTTAAAATGTGATTCACTTTAATAAAAAGTGCGGTTTTTCCTACTTCTATTCTAAATGACAGACCTCTGAAGAGCAACACATTTTTCTTTTCCTGTTTGTCTTTCCTTAATATTCTTATTATTAGTACACAAAATACATATGAATTAAACATTAGTCTCATTATGAGTGGGTTTAAAGGAGATCAGTAAGGAAAGAAACAAAAATATATAACCCTGCCTGCCACTGTAGAGGAAATGAGAATGAAGACAATTCAAGTGTTAATGTTGTTTATTGAGATAATATGCCAAAGTCATCAAAATTTTTGTATCCTAAAGTTAACTCCCATGCATTCAAAGTCAATATATCTTCAAGGTTTGGTATGTGAATTGAACTGATTATTAGGTCTTTGGAGTCCGTCATATGTGAAGGCATCACAATTATACATGACTTATAAATTCACTGGAATAATTGAATAATATTGCTCCTGGAAAATGGAAAGGATAATGAGAAAAGCAATACATACAAAGGCAAAAAGAGTGTCATTTTTAAGAGGAAGACCCTCACTCTCTCCAATCCCATAAAGAAACTGGAAATATTAATTATTCCTCATATTTCTCCATTCTTTAAAATGAGCAAACAGAGCTTTCCTGCTACCTCATCAGCCAATCATTGGATAAGAAGGTGGTATAAGATATAATGTTTCAGGAATTCTAGTTTCCTTCTAGCAGTGCTTTGAAATAGGCCATGGGTAGAGCGATCACAAAACAAGGAACAGCAAAACTAAAGGTAGGCCTATATGCAGCAGTTTTCTCAGAGATTTGAATATCCTGTCACCCAGGAAAGCTCATGAAGTCAGAGGGTAAACAACCCAAAATAGGTCAGGAACTCCCTGAAACTGACCAGATTCACTAGGCTCCTCTTTCCTAAGAGTAAACAATAATATTGATAGTAGACACTCTTAGATAACCCAAGTTATAAAGAATATTCTGAGACTAGACCAGCTGCCTGGAAGAAGCAGGAAAAAAATTTAAAAAAACAAGCAACCGGGAAGAGGTTTTGACCAACTGAGTTACTTGTGAAGGACACCCACTAACCTATTCAGCTGCTGGGAGGCTTTTCAGTGTGCTCCAGGTTCCCAGTTTGTGTGAGCCATCACCCCAGCTGAAGTGGGTTTTAATGATGCAGCTGTCTTTGAGTCATTGCTGTTCTTGTGAGTAACCCCTCGCTCATACTCGTATAATTAACCTCAACAAAACTCATTGGTTTGGGGCTGGAGAGATGGCTCAGTGGTTAAGAGCACTGGCTGCTTTTCAGAGGACCCAGGTTCAATTCCCAGCACCTACATGGTATCTCACAACTGTCTGTAACTCCTGTTCCAGGGCAGCCAACACCCTCATACAGACATACATGCAGGCAAAATACCAATGTACATAAAATAAAAATAAATAAGTTCTTAAAAGCTCATTGGTTCATTAAATTAAACTTTGGTGATATCCATAATTCCGGTCTATTGTAGGCTCCCTATCTGGGGTGGATAGGTGTGTGTTGCACCTCCTCATGGAAAGTCTTGTCACATAAGAGAGTCATGGGAACACATACTAAGTGAAGGAGGGAATTGGGATACAGCATCACTAGTATCTTTCATATAACCTCTCTCTTTTTAAAAGGTTTTGTTTTATTTTGTTGTGTGTGTGTGTGTGTGTGTGTGTGTATGTGTGTGTGTACACATGCATATATCTGCATGTATGTGCAGTCTCTATGGAGGCCAGAAAAAGGCAACACTGTCTGGAGCTACAGACAGTTGCCAGCTGTTATGTGGGTTCTGGGATTTGAACTTGAGTCATCTGCAAGAGCAGCTCTTAAATATTTTGCTCTTAATTATTAATCTGTTTCTCTATCCCCTAAGATTTTATTTTATTTTAAATTATGTATGCATGTGTGTCTGTATAAGGGTTATGTGTATGTAATTGTAGGTGCCTACAGAGGCCAGAAGAGGGCAGAAGATCTAAAACTGAAGTGAGCCACCAAAAAATGGGTGCTGGGAAACTGAACTCAGGTGCTTTTAAACAGTAGCAAGCACTTTCTGGATCAGCACATAGACTTTTCTTAAGGAAGTCACACTATCTTGATGATTTAATTCCAGCTTCCCTACACTGCTCCTATTGCTTCTTGTTTCTGGCCCACTTCTAAGTAATTTGCTATGGAGATAGTATAGGACATAGGGCTTAAATATCCCTTACCACATCAATACAATTCTAACTTCTAGCAGTATCCTTGCCTTAAACAACATTAGCATTTCCTGAAGAAACCTCTGAGGGGTTATATCCCTTCTGCCATTGCCTGCACAGGAGGCATGGCCTAAAGTCATTGCTAGATAATGCCACAATACTTGAGAAGATAGTTTGTCACCACTCTTTCTATACTGTGTATCTTTCCAACATCTATGGCTGGTTAAACAGTAACTTCACCCTCTTCTGTTCAACAATAGCTTGTAAAAGGTTTTAAGTCTGGTTTAATGCTACTTCTGCCGATCAGACACTCACATGATGTCTTCTCTAGTCTATAGTTTAAGTATCTGCCCGGTACTTTTGCCTGAAGTATAATCTCATTCCATTCTAATGGTTCCACAAAGAAAAAAAAAAGTAAATTGCTTTTTCCCTCCGGAATTAAAAATTTAAAAGCTCTGTCTCCTTCTCTAATGTTCTTGCCATTCCACATGGAGTTGTTTCATCAATATCTCAGGGTACCAAACTCTGTCACCCATGCCTTGTGCTTCACAGCTGGAACCTTTCTTATAAGTAGACTGTCTCATTTCTCAGAAAACATTCCAGAGCTATGGAACTTCTATTCACAATTTGTCATTACTGTGAGTGTATATATTATATCCATTTCTAAAAATTCATATAGTATGCAGAATTTGGTGACATTTTTTCAACCATAGTCTGTTATCTGGCATAAAATTAGAGACTTTCTACAGCAGCACTCAGGAAAGAAAGGAGCCATTCTATAAGGAAAATGTATAACTAAAAATAATATGAAAAAAGAAATGTCTTACATAAAACTTCCAGTGGAATCAAGAGTCTATTATTAGAAATATCCAGCCATGGATAGATTGATAAATTTAGATATATTGATAGATTATTTATAGCATATAACACATTGATTTCTCTTTACTTTGTTGGTTAGTTTTTAGCTAGATTTCGTTCATTTTAAAACAGTACACATAAACTAAAAACATTCATGTTAAAAGAAAAATTATATTTCAATAAATATCTATATTGTGTAATAATTTAATCAAGTTAAACATAGTTACCCATTTTCTCCTTATTATGATGTTCATTCTTTTTTGTTCTTTTTTTATTGGAGTGCTTGACTATGGACATTTGCTTT